GCTAGGACTAGTTGTTTCCATGAATTTTTGGTTTTCTTCATTCGTCTTTGTGCTGGACGAGGAAAGACCCATTTTTGCATCTGGATGGCAGCTTGCAAGCTTTTAAGATCCTAGTCGCTACTCGCCAAAGTAGGAGGTGGAACAATGTTTTGTGTAGTATGTTATGCCAATTGAGCTTGATGTCCCCTTGCTTGCAAGCTTTTAAGATCCCAGTTGCTACTCATCAGAGTAGGACGTAGAACAATGTTTTTGTGTAGTATGTTATGGCGTTTGAGCTTGAAGTTCCTTCCCAAGCCCACAGGTCCAACAATTCACTCCATCAGGGTGGTTGACTATGGTTTAGAAGTTATCATAACTTGGCCCACTGTTATTTCTACTGGACATTCTTACAGCACATACAAATACATATATACAAATATCATCTGCTAATCCTATGTATGTTCATGGGTATATTCCCTTTTGCCTAGACATATCTGATCATTCAGCCTATCTACTCATCTATTTACCCATAGATTAATATTTGTTATCACTGATAACTGAGTATTGAATATGTAAAAGTGTTCATCCTTATTGTTTGTACCTGTTGTGCTCCTCTTTGTGTCTTCCTTTTCCTTAGTGTTATTGTGTTGATCACTTGCTTTTGGTGTATTGCCTTCTCTTTCACCCAAATCAATACCCGTCTCTTACCTATCTAGCAATTTTCTCTTCCCTCCCCTCTCATCCCTGGTAGCCAACAAAGAAAGTTTCCTTCCATAGATAAACCTTTCCTTGATTTTTACAATAATGGACTAATATAATATTTGTCCTTCTGTGATTGACTTATTATTTCATTCTTCATTATATCCTCCAAGTTCATCCATGTTACTGAGGTGTTTCTCAGATTCTTCATAAATTTCTAGTGTTGCATAGTGTTCCATTATGTGTATGTACCATAGTTTGGTTATCCATTCTTCTGCTGATGGACACTTACGTTGTTTCCATCTATTTGCTATTGTGAATATTGCTGTGATGAATATGGGTGTGCATATATCTGTTCATGTCCTTGCTCTCACTTCTTTAGGATACATACCTAGTAATGGGGGTTGATGGATCAAATGGTATTTCTATTTCTAACTTTTAAAGGAATTGCCATACCTCTTTCCACAGTAGTTGTATCATTTTGCAGTCCCACCAGCAGTGTATGAGAGTCCCAATCTCTCCACATCCTCACCAACATTTTATTTTTTGTCTTGTTGAACTTGGCTATTTGTGCTGTGGTAAGATGGTATCTTGTTTTGATGTACATCTCTTTAATGGCTAGTGCTTTGCTTATCTGAGGTCCCTTTCCTTTCCAAATAAAATTAACGATTGGTTTTTCCAAGCCCTTAAAGAATGTTGGGAGCACTGGTGGCATAGTGCATAAGTGCATTTGACTGAACATTTCTTCATGGTTTGTTGGCTGTCTGCATATCTTCTTTGGTGAAGAGTCTGTTCATGTCTTATGTCCATTTTTTAATCATATTGTTTTTCTTTTTGACGTTGAGGTACTGGAATTTTCTATAAATTTTAGAGATAAGTCCTTTGCCCATTATGTCACAGATGAATATTTTTTCCCAATATATAGGTTCTCTTTTAATTCCTTTGGAGAAGTCTTTTGATGCACATAAAATTTAATTTTTAGAAGGCCCTAATCATCTAGTTTATCTTCTGCTGTTGTGCATTTTGGGTTATGCTGTTATGCTTGATAGTTGAATAATGCCATAAATTAGTGTCCCTAGGTTTGCTCCTATTTTTCATTTTGATGAATCTTATAGTTTTAGGTTTCAAATTTAAGTCTTTGATGCATCAGGTGTTAGTTTTGGTACATGGTGTGAGGTATGGATCTTGTTTAATTTTTCTGCAAATGGATATCCAGTTTTGCCAATACCATTTGTTAAAAAGACTATTACTTCCCAATTTAATGGATTTCAGCCCTTTGTCAAAGATCAGTTGACTTTAGGTACTTCTGAGTTCTCAATTCTGTTCCACTAGTCTATGTGTCTGTCATTGTACCAATACTAGGCTTTTTTGACAACTGTAGCTGTATAGTAGGTTTTGAGCTCTGGGAGTGTGAGACCTCCTACTTTGTTGTTCTTCTTCAGTAATGCTTTGCTTATCTGAGGTCCCTTTCCTTTCCAAATAAAATTAACGATTGGTTTTTCCAAGCCCTTAAAGAATGTTGGGAGCGCTGGTGGCATAGTGCATAAGGCATTTGACTGCTAACCAGAAGGTTGATGGTTCAAACCCACCAGCCACTCCTCGGAAGGAAGGTTGGGTAATCTACTTCTGTAGGGATACTGCCTCAGAAATCCTAGGAGGGGTCCTGTGAGTCGAATCCTACTCAACGGCAGTGAGTTTGGTTAGTTTGGTTTTAAAGAATGTTGATGGAGACTGGATTGGGACTGCATTGAATGCATAGATTGCTTTGGGTAGTATTGACATTTTCCCAGTTTTCAATCTTCCTATCTGTGAACATGGTATGTTCATCCATTTATGGAGATCTCTTATAGCTTCTTGAAGTAGTGTTTTGCAGTTTTCTTTGTATAAGTCTTTTGTTTCCCTGGTGAAATTTTTTCCTAAGTATTTTATCTTTTTGGTAGGTATTGTAAGTGGTATTGATTTCCTTATTTCCTTTTCAGATACCGCTTTGCTAGTGTAGAGGAATCCAACTGATTTTTGTATGTTGATCTTGTATCCTGCCACATTGCTACCATCTTCCAATTAGTGTCAGTAGTTTTCTTACTGAATTTCTTTTACTTTCTTTCTTTTTTCCTTCTGTATAGGATCATATCATCTGCACATATGGATAGTTTTACTTCTTTCTTACTAATTTGGATGTCTTTAATTTCCCTTTCTTTTCTTATTGCCCTTGCTAGGACTTTCAATACAATGTTGAATGGAAGAGGAGACAGAGGGCATCCTTGTCTGGTTCCTGTTCACAATGGGAATGGTTTCAGTCTCTCTCCATTGAGAATAATGTTGGCTATTGATTTTGCATGTATGCCCTTTATTACATTGAGGAACGTCCCTTCTATTCTTATATTGCTGAGAGTTTTGATTAGGAATGGATGTTGGATTTTGTCAAATGCCTTTTCTGCATCAATTGATATGATCATGTGGTTATTTTCCTTTATTTTACTTATGTGATGGATTACATTGCTTGTTTTTATAATGTTGTTGTATCATCCTTGCATACCTGGTATGAATCTCACTTGGTTATGATGTATTATTTTTTGGATATGTTGTTGAAGTCTACTGGCTAAGATTTTGTTGAAGACTTTTGCATTTATATTCATGAGGAATTTTGGTCTATAGTTTTCATTTTTAGTGCTGCCTTTGCCTGGTTTTGGTATCAAGGGTGTGCTTGCTTCATAAAATGAATTTGGAAGGATTCCATCCTTTGCTATCTTCTGGAATAGTTTGGATAGGATTGGTGTCAGCTCTTGTCTAAATAATTGGTACAATTCTCCAGTGAAACTGTCTGGGCCAAGACTTTATTTTTGGT